TCAGTGATTTCAACCACTAGAAGAGGCCGCTCTCGCACTGTATAATGACAGCAGACCAGCATTGGACGCAACCCAGAAAACTATCGGCGCGGATTTTTGCCGATAACCGATTGTTCCAGCAATCAACTATCGGTGCCGATTAATCGGCAAAACCGATACATCGGTCAACCTCTACAACAATGTATATACAATTACAAATGATTATATATAAATCGTCAGTTTGTTGTTTTACACACATGCACAGACATTATTTCATACACGACATAGTCGTGAGATGCAAGAAACATAGACCTATGGCAAGACAACAAAATAACAACAAAAGACAATACTTAATTGAACCTTTTCTGATAAGAAGTGTGCGCTGCAAACGCAAGCATTTTTGACGATCATTTTGGTCCAGTCTGCTCGTTTAACCACAGCTGTCGTCGTTTTTTTTGTCTGGCAGTGGCAGCAGATATGCGATCAAATTTCTAATTTGAGGCTGTATTACGTAGATTCTGGCATCCAACATCACAACAAGATGTTTTAAGCTCCTTGTGTAGTCGAGCCTGCGCTGGTTTGAATGGGCTGCTCCAGTTTCCCCTTTGTTTTGCTGCCTCCAGCTAGCGCTGTGATGTCGGCTGACCCAAGTTACCTGTGGTTGGCCTGGCCGTGGGTCACTCAGAAAACAACAGGCTAATCAGAAGAGAGGCTCGTGAATATTAATTAGACAGACAAAAATCGACCTGTTCTCAGCAGAGCTCCTGAGAGAGGAGCTGTAAAAATATATTGATGGTTTTTGGTACTTATACCTCAAATATATATTCTTAAGGACATCAAAGCCTAAAATAAAACTCCAGAAAGGTGTAAAATATGTGACCTTTAAATAAATCACTCATATAAAGTTTTGGTCATATGGCCCACTCATAATCGTGTTAAATAATCGTGATTACAATATTGACCAAAATAATTATTGTTTAGTGATTATGATTTTTGCCATAATCGAGCAGCCCTAAATTTGCTTCTCATCTATCTCTGTCCACACACTGGACATAAACATGAAGTTTTTATTTTCCGGTTTTCCCACTATTTAGTGAGGATGTGTGAGGAAATGGAAAGGCAAAATTAAGGGTAGTGGAAATAATAGGATTCAATTTCTCCTGTCATCTTCGGTATTATAAAAACTGATTTTCTTTTCCCCACCACAGGATTATGATCCTTCCGCAATAGCTGTGGTGTTGTTTTTATACACACACATGCCAAGTAAACATCCATTATGTGTTTCTCTACTTTACACGTCAGCCAAACATTGGAACTAGCCTGTATTAAAGTAAAAAAAAAAAAAATCTAAAAACGGAAAATGACATGTTAATTTCACAGGCACTCCCATTCACCCACACAGTTCTTGGCATAACATGTTCAAAATTGTCCACCCAGTTTGCTAGCGCCTTAAAGGAATCGTTCATCCAAAAATTATCTTCTTATAATTATTTATCATCAGTGAATCGGTTGCTCTATTTCACCAATCGCGTTTGAATGTTTCATTAAAGTTTTCATTAGTCTCATGCATCCTTTTTAAAGTGTAAAAGCTTAGTTATTTGTAACTGCATGGAAAATAGTGACTGGTGTTTTGTCATTTTCTGCATGTCTATTTTTAGATGAACTGTTTTTTTCAAAGTTGCTGTTTTCATTTTGAGAGGAGGCAGTTTAACCACCTTTTCTTTCTCGCATATAATTTATTGTAATGGCCATCTCACAGGACAAGGTGACATTTCAGCTTTGAGCCCTGTTGCTTTAGTGTGAGTCACCCCACTCCATTTTTATGTGTCTTAAGAACCTAAGTCTCTTTGCAAATTTATTTTGTATCTCTACTCTCAAAATGTTCACCAAATCAGTTAAGGCACGGCATATCAGCTTGTTAGATTTAATAAGAATGGGTTACACCTAAAGGGTTTTGACAGCTCAGAATGAATTGGTTTATGTTCCGGATTTAGTTATTGGTGCTGTCAACTATTACCTGCATTCATAGTCACTTCGAACGTCACGGTCTGTTGTCATTGTTTTAAGAATAATGAGAATAAGCATCACCTGATGTCACAGAACAGTAAATCTGAAGGCCTGGGTTTTGCAGTTGCTCCATGAAGAAATGCACTCATATCGATCTGCTTGGCCTCCATGTGAAACGTTCTCTTTTCTTGTGTCTGGCTCTGTTTGTCTTTTGGTCATTGATACTGACAGCCATTGTGCAGTGGTCCTCAACGGGTGGGTCATGTGCCATAATTGGGTTGTACATCAGTTTGGATGCAAATAATGAAATGTAACGAATCATATAATCATTCATAGTTGGGATAATTATCTTTTATAGTTGGCATCAAAGTCCTGTCAAACTCTTAATGTATTTCGAAATTCATCTGTTGCTTGGTAGAATCTACAAGTAGCTGAGATTCCAGCATTGGCAGGTTATGTGACCATAAAAAATAATACAACCCATGAGAATATAAAAAATAGGTGCACTTTTATTGTCCTTTTAACTGATCAGGCTGTTGATAAAAAATAATTTATAAATACATAATTAATACAATGTATAAGTATTTTTTAATCTATATAACACTTTATATAGTTTTCATGTTTCTATTTATTAGGGGTGTAACGGTACACAGATGTCACGGTTCGGTATGTACCTCGGTTCGGGGGTCACGGTTCGATACAATTTCGGTACAACATGAAAAAAAATCTACTATGCTAGGTTTCATTTATTTTGAACAGACAGTAGTACAAATTTAAAAATGTTCCACCTAGACGTGAAAATTCTAAATATTATATTATATATATAAAATCTGCAGTACATATATACATACAAGGAATAAATGCTTGAAATATATTTGATTTAGTTGACCGATAAACAAGGGAAAAAACAGTGCGACACGTAGCGTAGCCTATATATGCTCAGTTTCAGTTCATTTTTGTGACCGGCTTAATTTGTTGACAAAGGAAACTCAAATGGCAGAAAGGGACATCCTATTTGTTTTCTTTATTTTACAAAAGCATAATGTTTTGTTTTCATTGTGAGTGTACACAAATAAAAGTAGACCTTTTACAGTGATGCATTATTAATAAGACAATAAGTGTTTTAAGTTGATTCTGCTGGTATAAGGAAACCTTTGAAGTGATCGCGCCGGCGCACGCACACACAAAACATGTCAGTTCCAGCATTGTTAACTTGACTGCGCAGTTGGTACTTTATCAAATTAAAATACAGTGAACCAAACATCAGAGCACCCGCCTCTGTGTCACCATTGGAACGCGACTGAAGTACAAAGCCTACATAATAAATAATAGTTTCGCATTTGGATACATCGCAAATATGAAAATATTATGCAATATTTGGATTTGTGCTGAATGAGAGAGGTAGGATACACGAGCACAAAGCTCCATTTCGCAAACAGTTGAGTGCACAAGTGAGAGACTCATTCAGAATCAGCACATGTTCACTGTCTAGTGGGCTTTGTTTTCAAGTGCGCAACTCATGGCATGTGCTGTTTTTCTGCGGCCGGTTATCAAACAGCGTTGCATTACTGCAGGTGCCCACTTCTGGATTGAGGGTGATTTGCCTGTATTCGATGTAAGGCATCGTGCACCGAACTGAGATGTCCGTACCGTGACGGTTCGGTACGAATATATGTTTAGGGTAAAAGTACCTATTAAGCTCACCAAAATCTACATTGAGACATTTTTAGTGCACAATATATTGGTTTCAGTACAAAAAGTTATGTTAAAATAAAATATTAATCTCTCACAAATGATAAAAGCATTTCGATTAAGATATACATCATTAAATGCAAAAAGTCTGGCTGTGCTTAATGGGTAAATTTTTGTACCCTTTAAGCACACCCCTGTTCCCAATAAGCTCACATCATGTTTTATTAAAAAAAAATTATTTTAAACAAACTTTGTAAAGAATAATTGAAAAAAAATGTTTTGACGGTACAAAGTCAATCACAAAAAAAAAAAACGGAACACTAAAATCAAGCAACAAGGCATTCAATTTGATCAGTTCCATGAGCTGAAGCCCCGGCTTAGCGTGAGCTGAGGCCGGGCTTGAGTGAGCCGAAGCCCCGGCTTAGCGTCCGCTGAGGCCGGGATAGAGTGAGCTGAGGTTGCAGGGTCGAGAACTGCGCGCCCGGCGGATCCGACGAATGAGCGGCAACCACATGTGACGACCCCGGGCTGGATTCCGCTTCGTCCACGGTGAAAGTTGATGTATTTCCTCAGCGACCAGCATAGATCAGCTCTAGGCATGACGAAGCGGATATCGTCCTCTTTTGGAAGACCAAACAAGCATTTCATGTGATATTTGTTAAAATGACAAGATTTTGCAAAATAAATAATTTAGGTCATGTATTAAGTTCATATTTTAATATGAACAACTATTATTAACAATATCTATGAAATTATACTTTTTCTTATTGATGTCACACTGAAGCTGTGTGATTTTCATAGTAGTGTTCCCTTTAAGCTCACCTTAAAATAATATGAAATCTTTAAAAATTACAGCAGTGTAAAACCACAGACCAGCAATAAACTGTCAATTTATAATATTATGGATGTAAAAGTACAAGCCAGTAATGCCTGTGAAGTAATATATTAGCGTAGCACACAATCTTATACAGCTAGTCAGCTAACTGTGTTCTGTAGCATCTGCGTTGTGTTGCTAAAACTATCTTTTGGATCTAACTAATTATTTCCCACATCCAAGTTCTAGGTTATAATATGCAAAAGTCTTAACATTAATCTCTTAATTTTACAGTAAGTAGTGAAACTTCCCCAAAATAAAGGCTTAAACATCTAAAAAAATGCACATTTAAGGAGCTCCTCTTTTGGTGAAAGTTTTTAGACCGCTTTCAAAATGGCTGCCAGGCAGTGTGAACACATGGAGACCCATCTCTGTGCAATGATCTGATTGACTTGAAATTACAGGAGGTATATAGTAACAAACACATCAATTAATTAAGCTAGTTACGGCGATGACTCGCTCACTCCTCAGGAGAGGGACGGACTAAGATGTTTCATGAAGAGTAGAGCCATGCCGGCTGAGTTAGAGCAACTGTCCCTGAGCTGCAACACCAACCTGCGATCCGCTGAATGCGCGTTCGATTCCGACGCGACGGAAAGCAGCTCAGGAGGAGAAACTGATGTGGAGGAGGATGAACTGGCTCGGGTCGACATCGAGCAACGCCACATTCCTCTGTGAGTACCGACCTTGATCATTCCTCTGATAATGCGAATCCAGATGGAGTAATGAGTATTTGTGGACCACAAAATAAGAAATGTTGAATACCGTAGTTGTAAAAAGGGATGTAGTGGTCCATCCACCACCTTCTCCCCATACAAGGCTCTGATAAATCTTCTCACTAGTGGGCTGTTAACTGTGACAATCAAATCATTGAATAAGTTGAACTTAAGAATCTAATTGGTAAATTAATCATTCCAGATTTTGTGAACTGCATAAAATTGATACATTAAAAAGATTCTATTACTAACTGGACATAAACACACCAAGGGATTGATGTCAAAATGTTGTGTAAACAATGAAAGATTCAAATTATTTGTATTTATTTATTGGTCTTGGACATTTCCAGTTATTGTTCACTTTAATTATATTTAAAAAAGAGCAGCAAGAATATTCCTCTGACTTTTTCTTTTGTGTTCCACGAAAGCAGCTCATACAGGTTTGAAATGACATTTTCAGAAATTATTATTATTATTTTTAATCGACAACAAAAGTTATTGTGGACCTAGTCACTAAATGCCCCATGGGGCATTTGGCAGAGACCATTAATCAATGTTTCAGTCTCTTGTGTTTTTAAAGATATTTGCATCTTGTTTTAAATAGTATGATGATTTAAGTGAGGAACGATTACATTGGAATTTGTAATTAGGTACTCCATGTACAATTTCTCCAGAAGGTCCTTCTGTCAATGAACTGTCCATCTTTGGATATGGATTTTTGTAGTGAAAGCAAGTGTGGTGTTTGGCACTGTTCTCCTCTGCCTTTCCTGGGATGTCCGTCTGTCTAAGACTTTAGACGTTAAAATAACTGCTTTGTCTTGACTTTGCCACCTTTTGAAATGTGTATACCTAAATATATCAAATCTGAAATACTCATCACTAGATCGCATAATACTGTTTATATATCTAATGTATTCAGACCATTTTGAAAAGCAGTTTTTCTTTTACAGTTATCGAGGATTCCCCATCAGCATGGTTTCTGGTTTTACCAGTCAACCTTCTAGGTCACATAGCCAGCTTGTCATTTGTCTTGTTTTACTAATTCAAAATGTGGGACATTTAGATGTATTTTCTCTTTAGTTACAAGTTTTGTATTCTTCTGTCTTTGCAAGATAAAATGGCAGAGAACAAGGCCATTATAAATAGAGTTGGTGAGTCAGAGAGACATCTCTTTAATCAGTCAGGATTACAGTTTTTACAGATTAATACTCCAGACCCAATGCCTACTGGCCGCAGGCCTCTATTCTTCACAGATGATGATACCCTTGAGAAATATACAAGAAACATTTTTTGCATCGCGATTCTCTCCAACGATTCTGGGATCGATTATGAGAATTTCAGAATCGATTCTGAGCTTATAGTTTTTAACCAGATGTGCGATGACGCTGAGTTTGCTTTAGAAACACCCGTATTCTGCTTGCTTCCAATTCCTCAAACACATACACCACTCGAACCTTCCGTAAAATAATCTTTCATAAAGTTGGGAAAGGTTGAAGTGAATTACAAGGACATTCGCGGGCTTCATTGCACCGGATGCGCTGTGAGAGGCGCACGGTTTGTTTGATGTTACACTTGAAGTGTGCGGTCTCGCCCGTCGGTATTTTCCTTAATGCTCTACGAAGTCATAATTTATGTGGTTTGGAATGCAGTGGACTTTCATATTTAAAATATGAATCTCACTAACAGAAGGCTGCTTTCAATTTCAAATTCTGGCGTGCGCTTTAAGACTGCTCGCGCATGCGACTGTGCGCGACTCGTGGTTTAATGCACTTGCGTCTCAAAATGGTTTTATGACGTACAATTAATGTAAACAGCCAGTTGTGTCTTAAGGGATTAAACGGACAGTACAAACCACATTACTACTAATATTTCAAAAGAGATCCGTGCGTGAATGCAGCTTAATAGATCTC